GACTAAAGAGTCCAGATGTCAGGCTGGCTGGCTCATTACACTTATGACCCACTTCAGGCCACTGGAGGGCATTTTCAGCAGAGATTGGCAACTGTGCACACCCTCGTGTCCTCACTAACTGCTCACTGCTTTCTCCCTGCACTTCTCTTTTTTTTTTTCTTTTTTTTTTTTTTTTCTTTTGCTGGTTTCTTGTTTTTCTTTTTCTTTGTATTCTCTGTATTTCCCCAAACAAGGATTTTTTATTTTTTCTGTCTAGAGGCCTCCTCTAGCATGATTTTTGCTGTGACAGCAATTCACATCATTCTCTACCAAAGGGTCACCTCACCTTTGCTCTCTGGGGTTGATAAGTAGTTGCAGCATGAGAGAAACTGGGTGTGATCACTGAGACTTCTCAGCGTGAAAACAGCAGTACTCCTTGCAGACACTGCCTATCTGAGAACAGCTTGGGAAAATAAGTTTCTATGAAAAGGAGGAGGGAGGGCAGAATGGCTAGAAATATGGGAAGAATAACTGAAATGTAGGGAAAAAATCTATTTCAGGGAAAGTGTGCCAAATCCGTAAGTATTCACTGTTTAAGAAAACCTGCCTTGGGACAGGAAATCCTTTCCCCATATTAAGTCCAGTAATTTAGAAATAGGAACATCATGAAAATGAACTTGGTAGAGTTTACTTTATATTTGTATAAAAAAGCATTAAAAGGCTGAGAAGAAGAAAATTGTCTGGGAGCTTTAACAGTCTATTTATGGAACTAATTCTTATTTTTAAGAAACATACAGTGCTACTGAAACTTGTCTATTAATAAAATATCCAAGACAGAATGTATTACTAGGCAGACAACATTCCCATATTCAGTTAGCAAATCATTCTATTAAGGCATGCATTCTAGTGTAATAAGATTCATTTTTCTCTAAAATATTCTAATATTCAAGGTGTTCTGTAATTTGTCTTTTCTGTAGAGTTGGTTTGACTCAGTGACAGTAAAAATTTACTTATTCCTTAGAAGGTCTTGTTAATACTCAGCCTACAGGGTTTTGGATAATCAAGCTCACGATCTTCCAGCAGAGGGATTTCTGAGCTGTGACTTGATGTCTTTGGCAATATTTAACCCTTGTGTGCTTCTCCTTGACTATAAATGTGCCCACCTCCCTACCGCCACCCGTATACCTAACTTCATCATAGGGTATCTGTCTATTCACACACACACACACACACACACACACACACACACACACACACACATTTCACCTCCCTAAAAGAACTCACAGGCTACCCAATCCTACTTCCTTTCAGCACAGGTTGACCAATAAGATTGGAGATAACCTAACAAGTTCACAAAAACCAACTAACAAGAGTGCTGACAAAATTAAAATTCATGCATAAATAACTCCTTTGAAAAGAGCATTTACAGCTTAGGATTCTGCTAGGCTGCTTGATTTTCCATCAGCTTCCAAGTCCTTTCCTCTTCAATACTTTAATGAAGCGTTGATCAAAGAATTTCTCACTTCCACATTCCCACATGTGTTGGCACCTTTTTAGTTCCCCTTTTCTGCTGAAAGCTTTCATGCTTTGTAATCCTTTTTGTTCCGGGGATCTCTGTCTTTTCTGTGGAAGGATAGTTAGATGTGTGTCCCTAAGAGGCAGGAGTTCATGGCTAGCAGGAGGAAACAGTCACTGCTCCTGTCCTTGCCTCAATAGATACAATAGTGCCTATTCTTGCAGGGAAGAGGTAGAGTCCTGATGTCCTAATTCAAGGTGTTTAATAGGAATTTGACTAGATAGATGAAGGGGCAGTGCTATAGTACTTTGATGGTAAAGAAAAGAGGGAGCCTCATTTTATTTTTTCCCACTAGTCTGAGTTTTTGTTTAATGGAATAGTTATCTCAGGAGTCCGTGAAACCTTCTTCACCGCACGTGCTCACTGAGAGGCTGTATGAGCTTTTATCGGGCTTTATTGTATAATCTCTAAGCCTGCTTATAACTCAGAGATGTTGATATCTTTGAAACCAGTGAGAACTAAAACATGAATTTTTGAAGTTTTAGTCTGTAAAATATGCTGCCAATTATGTCGGATCCTTCTTCTGTCTCTGAAGGGTCCACCCAAATGTAACTTTTCTTTTTTTTTTCTTCTACTTTTTGTCAATTTCTCATTCTTTCAAACTCAATCCTGAATGTGTACACAGTGTTGTGTGTTTTAGTTATCATTTATAATTATTTACTTAAGGATTGTTTTTGGTGGCTAAGTTAACTATGAATATGATTTGAGAGTTAAGGTAGCAAACCTTGAACATAAGCAGGAGAGGGTAAAATGTGACTTAATTGAGTAGGGACAAACTTAGAAAATCTTAAATATCATGATGCTGTATGTACTTCAGAATAATTATTGTAAGAACAGTTTTATATAAAGGGTTTTTTCAGTCAAGCAGATTTCAGCTTGGATCTAGTTCTGTACTTTATACCATAGTTTTAACCAATTAACATTCTTAAAACTCTATATCTCATCTATAAATCTGATATTATACCATTATCCAATATGAAGTTTAAACAAAATAAAAGCACGTAAGTGACTTACTACTTGGACTATGTCAGGTTCTAGGAATATATATTTATTGTTTTCTATTTGCTTTAGGTATTTGATCTGAACATGGAGAAAGGGAAGATTTTCCCAGAATCTCCACTCTCTGTTTTCTGTTTTGCTGGCTTAGCTGAATGAATACAGGAAGAGAAGACACTTAAACTCTGAAATCTGAGATTCTAAAAAAAAAAAAAAAAAAAAAGTGCTGGGTGCCTCCATTTAGGTCAATATTGTTGCATTGCCAAACTGTCACTGTATTTTTGTGAGTGCCGCAGACCTGCCTGGTCCTGTCTCAACCAGCACAAGGATCCCAGAGGAACAGCCAGAACAAACCAATGGTCCAGCTGCAGCACAGGAGGACGGCTCCTGTTACAGACACACAGCCCTGCTCTCAGACTTGGTAGGGCCTGAGTAACTCAGAACAGAGTGACTCATAAAAAAGAGGACACTAAATTTCCCCCTACCACCTTCAGTTTTCCACCATGGTTGGTTTGTGCAGTTCATACTCAGCATTTTTGTACCAAATCCACAACAATATTTTTGTTCAAATAATGTGAATTAAAAAAAAAAACTATAAATGCTTTTTTTTTATTTAAAGAGAGAAGAAAAAGAAGAAAAAAAAAGGAAAGGACATAAAAAACAATGCAGTAAAAGGGTACAAATAATACAGTATTTCTAGAAAAAAATATCTACAGTACGAAATCACCGGTTAATAGGTTACATATTATCTTCCCAGAAACAGTTGTCCATATCACTAAATTAAAGCATACAAAGTGAACATTCATACAGTGAAATTAGAAACAGTTCCTTTCAATGATCCAACAAAAGCTCAGTTATATGGTTTTCCATCCTACACACTTGAACATACCTGCGATTATATCCCTTAGTCCACCTTACTTTCTTCTCTTTTTTACAGTAACAATTAGACTTTTAGGGTTTTATTACTCTCACAGTTCTTATTACTTTTTTGAAGAGAATAAAACCAAATGTGACTAAGCAAAACAGAGTCAGTTAGAACAGAAGGGTGGGCATAGCACGTGATGCAAAAATAGAATACCAGGTGATCAAAAGTGGTTACCATTGTGCCTCTTGCTATTTTTAAATTGAGTTGTCTATATCATCAGGTATAATAGAATTGATCAAAACAGTACAGAACAAAACCAATAAATGCTTTCTTGTTAGAAACATTATGCTCTAAGTTCTCTTCAGAACTTTTGTCTTATTGCTCTTGTATCATTAACTTGGATGAAATATAGACATAGGAATGAAGTTTCCAAGAGAAAGAAGCCTCTTAAATTACTAAATACTATTAGAGATACTTTACAAAGTGCTTAAAACAACATTAACTATACACTGTGACTTTGAATGAATTAACTAGAGCTGGCTGTTGTAGAATTATATATATTTACTTTATCATGTTTTATAATAATCTCAGTTAAGAATTGTCAAATCTATTACAGATGAAGAAACAGATTTGAATTAGTAAAATAACATGATGAAACTGATATGTCTGGAAGTTACAAAGCCTGGACTGGAACCCAGGATTGCTTTCATAGTTGGTTCTCTTTTACTGTGATCAGCTACTTCAATCCAATTGATAAGACAGAGAACTTGTATATCATATAGGAGACATTGAATCATCTCCACATAATGAGTTATTAATGTATGTGTTCACTTCTCTGGACCATGGCATCATTAGATCTGGATGGCACTCCATTGCTAGGTGAGGTTTGATCTCCTAGCAAATGAAATGTACCAATGTAACTTGGGACTGTCATTGACCACAATGGTTTTCAGTGGGTGAAGCCCTTCTGTAGCTATAACTTAATTGCAGAGATGTCTCAGTTTAGCCTCTGGAAGGTTCGTGAGGAATAGGAAAAGCCACAGCATTAGTTTGCTCAGTTTGAAGATGAAACCATGGGGCTACCTTTCCCTGAAGTGGAGGAAATGGGTCCTATGTCCCCACTAAAGGTCTTATCAGAGGCTCTGCCTTGCATTTCTCCAGAGATTGCAGTTGGTTTTGGGGATCTTCATCTCAGAAGGTCAGGGATTATTTCTGAGGAGATCACCTGATCCAGAGGTAGATTATTTCAAGAGACAGTGCTTTGGAATTTCTAGGGCCTCGTAAAGCAAGTGCTAGCCATAGGTTCTTATTTAGAGCATTCATACTTACACTAATAAAAATTAAGAGTCCTTCGCTGTAGCACCTTTTTAGCCCAAACAGTGACAGGTGGTGAGCAAGTGGAGATGCAAAGCACTTGTCACGGGTGTGTCTGAGTGGTAGGCTGGGACGGGTAAAGATATGCGTGCATGATATCAGCTCCTTTGCTCCTTTCCTGTTGTTGATGAGTGACACTTGGATATATCACTATATATATAAAAATAGAAGCTCTGTGTCAGCCTTCTCCTTGTACGGGTACTGTGCTGCAGCATTTACATCTGGATGTCAGTGCCACCAGCGTTATTTATAGAGGAGACCCGCAATTAACATTTTGCGAGTAACAGAGGAAGGAGGAGGGGGAGATAGAGAAAGGCACAGTTTACTGCAAAGGTGTTCTGACTATTGTTCTGCATTTCTGAGCACTTAACTGTACCCTGTTTGAAATGATGATTCTCCCCTTTACAGGAATATACCCCTTTCACGGCACTCTCGCATCCACCGGCACACTGAAGTCTCCGAAGATTGTGAGCTGCAGGCTGAGAATTCATGCAGAAGCCCTGGGGAGTAAGTGACTCCTGGCCTTATTGTTCACATGGGTGGTCGGAAAACAGGCTTTCTACTTTCTACCTTTCTAATGCTGTTGTTTTTTCCTTTTATAAATCATAGAGGGTGTTAATGGCCCCATATATGGTGGGGAAATGGAGTCATGGGTGATGAGGTGAAGAAACCCATATGTGGTCCAAGAACATAGGTGGTATGAGGCAGGTGGCCAGACACCAAAACCCAGTAGTGAAGACACAGGTGCAGTCTTTGTCTCTGTGGAGTGAACACTCCAGTGACTTCATTAGAAGATTTTTACAACTGTACATCTGCACAGTGTAAGCTGAGCTATGAGCAAACTCATCCCTTTTGATCATCTTTTGGAGATAATAAACTGGCTTAAAATTCATGAAACAATAAAATTTTTGGATTCTAAAATATTTAAGTAATTTGCAAGAATGTTTAGTTCTCTCATATTTGAGAATGGTGGACCTGGAAGTGGTAGGAAGGAGTATTTTCACATTCTGTCCAGGTGAATAAGATATTATTGGACATTTCTGTGTATGCGCAGAGGAGGAACTGAATGAGATTCCGAAGTTTCTAATGTCTCACTTAAGACAAGAGCTAAGACAGCCACCTCCAAACTTTTCTGCATTTTAGAATCACCTAGAAAGCCTTAGAAAGTACTGATTTCTTTGTTCTCCCTTAGATATATAACTAATTTATTGGATGACCAGAATGCTTACAAGACTGTAACATGGAGACAAGCTTTGGAACCACCGAAAGAGAACATGGCCAGTGGGGAGATGGAAGAAAACTGCTCACTTCTCCAGTAGTCACTCCCAACTTAAGTTTTCCCTTGCCAACAGGACCTGATTTTTGTTCCCATATTAAATGACCTTGTGCACAAAGAGGCAGGGACTCTCCCAGTCCACAGAACCAAATAATAAATGCTCCAGGTCAGCCACAGTATTTGCATTTTCTCTGATAATAATTAACTTGAGAGTATGACTCCGATGCAACTAAGAGAATGGGAAAAATATTTATCTTTGAGGAAGAACATGGAAAAGATTCTTCCTATTAAGAGAAGAGTTTTTTGAGAAGAAACAGTTATTTTCGTATGTAGAAATGTTATAAAAGTATGTAGAGACCTCGGAGAAGAGTAGGCATAAGATAATGATCACAACTAACAATAATGGAATAAAGAAAGAAATTGAGGTTTGCTGATGATTTGTGCTAAATATTAATAAACCTTAACATCAATATATCTTTTGGCTTTATTTTTACTTATCATTTATGTTGCTTTATTGGATATTTCTGAAATTTATTTAAAAAGTGTTTAATAATTAAATCTTAATTTTGGATTAAATTTCCCAAGGCACATAGTACATGCTAGTTTAGGAAATAATGATCAATGCCAAACTTGTGCATTGTTCCTGAAGAAAGTGTGATGGATATTTGGCAAAAATGATAGTTTTCTTCTATGGACACAACTCAAAAGATAAAGAATTTATTTCAAAAGTTTAATTACTTTTGATTAACTTGACATAGATCTATTATAAAATTTTACTAACATTCTTTTTTAACCTTTGGATATGTTTTCCAGGATCATTTAAGATATTCATAAGACGAAGTATATATACTAGCTCCACTGTTATTGACTCAAAGACTTCAAGGTAGGAAACTTCTCCAGAGGGTCCCTAGGATGCTTCTGGTATCAGGTTTCAGGCAGGGCTTCTTAAAGGGTAAATGCCTAATGGTCTCCTCCTCAGCTTCCTAACAACCAGAAAGAAAGAGACAGAAAATGGTAAACATAGATGAACTGGGGCCAGGATAAAATGTGACGGATGATGGTTTACCAGATCCTTGAGATTTAAAACTGTGTTTCCCTCTGAGGATTCAGTGAGAACACTTCTGTTTCCACAAGGGTATTTTTATGAAAATAGGAATAATTATAAATGACATCTGTTGTGCGCTTACAGTGTCACCCATCACGGGATGTTTGTGATCTTTATCATCTCACATCGTCCTTACCTTCAATCAATGGTGACAGCATTTGTCAAGAACACACAGTGACTTGCAAAAGATGCCATGATATGGGGAACCACTCAGACAGCTTTAAAGCTCAGGGGTGTCTAAGGACGCCTGAGGATTTGCCCTCACTTGTCTAGGCAGGCACACAGTGGAAAACAGTTGTATAATCATGACTTAGCACAGGCAAACACACGAGTGCTGGTTGCAGCACTATGTAGGTATGTAAATATAAGATAACAACCTGTGTAAGAATTATACAATAAAGACACAGGCGGCTCTTGCTCTTGTGCTCTTTTGCTCCGTTCTACTCCACGCTGCCTACTCTTGTTGCTGATGTTTTGGACATGTGCATTCTTCAATTTTGGGGCATCACCTGCCAAAATCTCCCTTGGGCCCCCGAGCAGGCCAACACATGATTATTGCTTAGAAGTTCTGTAACAGAAGCCCAATCTGGGCTTGTCTCAATAGCACAATATTGTCTTTTACACATAGTGGAAAGAACACAGATTTGTAGACCATCTTTTCCTAGCTGTGTGACCTTGAGTCTCCCTTGTCTGGTCCCTATGAAAATTGAATAGTGTTCTTTCAATCAGGAAGTGTTGTCCAAATGTAATTGCTTATTCCAATACCTTAGATGTTGAGATTTATTCAATAAACAGAAGGTCCTACTATGTGCCACACGCACTTTGAGGGATACAAGAATGTGTAGGACATGAAACTTCTTTCCCTTTCAGCGGTGAGCGCTGACAGTCAGACTGAGGCTACATCTCCCTTTGCAGTCAGGCCTGGGGCTGCCCTGGCTCCAGCTTTGTGTGGCTGCATCCTGCTACTAGTAAGAGCCTGTTGAGAATTGATGCCAACAGCTCCCCAGCTGCCTCATGTTAATGTAATCAGCAAGAAGCCTGCACACCTGACGGTAGTTCAGAATATGAGGTGAATGATTAAAGTTTAAAAGGTCGTATCCATTGTAATACTGAAAAGAAACTTTATGATTCATCATTTCTGATGTAATGTCATCTGTTTAATAAAGCTGTATTTCACTCGCAGCTCGTTTTTAATGGGCCTATTTAAGTAATGGAATTGGGATTGGGCTTTTTCCCTTTCCTTTCTAGCTAAGAGTGGTTTGTATGGAATACACTTTAAAAAATAAATCAGAAGTTTAGGACTTGGATATTCACAGTAACTTTCAGCCTGCAGCTGACGGCTTATTATTTAACTGAACTTGGACTGAAATATCAGGCAAAGCAAACAAGCAGCTAGATATGCTAATACATACATAAATCATATCTCTCTTAATTGACTGGTTGGGAATTTATCTCATGGGCAAGTATCTGTAAACTACTGTGATGAGCAGTGGTCAGAGAGGGGGCCACCTGGCCTCGGCTGTCATTCACCCCAGGAAATGGAACCTGTTGAACCTGCTCATGTCAGAGCTTTCCCACTGGAGAAATGTTGTCCCTCAGATGACAACTGACATTGGCTGAAGATGTTACTGATGGAATCCAGTGGGTCTAGGGTGGGAATGTAGCCAAACAGTCTATACTGCACAAAACATCTGCTCCCTTGGAGGTATAAATTACGGGGCTTATACACACAGACGAAGAGCATACAAGGTTTGAAGGGAAAGGTTTTATCCCTCCTTGAGATTATGTGAGTCTGATCCCATTTTCTTGGTCCTAATTTTCATGGGACCAAATGTCTCGAAACTGTTTCTTTTCATGTATTAACATGCCCTTCGTGTGGGCAGAGTGTCATCTAGTGAGGATGTGGGGGTGGCCATCCTGTAGAATTTCTAAAAATATTGAATGTAGAAACACTATAAAAAGTTATATCATCTATTCCTTACATTTAACAGAGAAAGTAATTGAAGACCCTAAAAGAAAAATAATTCACCTGCTGACTAACCAATTACAATATCCCACAGTCTCACACTATTTATTTTGCTGTTTTTTTTTCCTGAATTTGAGAACAATAGATTCTCATTCATATGTCACTCTGCATTCTAAATGTAGTGTGCAAATTAACATCGTCTTCCCTAATCTTCATTCAGTTCTTCTTTTTTTCCATCCCTAAATTTACTCTTCCCATCAAAAGCTGGTTTTTGATGAAACCAATGTGATGAAAACTGGACTTTTCTTTGATAATTTTTTCACTAAGTTTTTCAAATTTAACTTTTGGATTTGTATTAGCAGACACAGAGATTCTTATACTCACTGATGTTTTTCTTCTTGAGTGTGTTTGTTGTTACCTAATATTTTTGCCATGATTTCTTAGAGTCATGATGGAGGAACCCTGAAGGTTACCAGAGAGATAAGGTTTAAGGAAAGGCAGTCTTTAAAGTAATGTGACCCATAGAGTTGGTTTAAATTAAATTTCTGTTTTATTCTCTCCAGTTTATCTTTTTCCTTTCCAGTTTCCTCCCAGGTATGTAAATTAACAATACAACTGATCCAGATGCCCAAGGGCAACCCTTACTGTTTTTTTCCTCTGGCTTTCAAATCTAAAGCAGTGATAAATCCTATTGGATACATCTTCAAAATACACCCATGACCCAAGCACTGTACATCACTTCCATTGCTCACCTTACTCCTATGAAGTCATCACATCATCTTACCTGAGGTTCTCCAAAAACCTCTCAGTTGATCTTCCTCCTCCCTGACTGCTTTGCTGTCCACTCTTCATAGAGTAACTATCTTCATAAAAACATGTATGTGTACAAATGTGTTCATGTGTGCCTGCATGTGTGTGATGGGTGTTGATAAAGAACCAGGACTAATGCTTGCTTTGTTTGCTATAATCTTAGTATTTAATGAAAAACATCAACAAGTTCATGACAGGGGTTCAGTAAGTTGATTTTGAACGAATGAATGAATGCATTAATAATGAATTAAGTGGTGACCCTCTTCATTATTTATCCGCTAATGTGTCATGCTCCTCACAAATTTCCATCTTCATAATTGAGATAGATAAGTCACACCCAATTTTTTAATATCTAGTAGTGATTACTTGCGCTTTCAATACAGTATTTTGAGTGCTAAGCCAGTTGTAGGTATCTGAAATTTAGAAGATCTGCTTCAGTGGTGTCTTTGTGGATTATCATTTGACTGTGATCTCATCCATATCCCTACCTTTGTTTAATGCCTTTTTCTTATTTGCTTGAACTTCCCTGGTATTTTATTACACCTTTGAGTATCATCCACAGGTTTGATGATCGTGACCTTCATATGCCCTATTCAAAGTCAATCATGATACTACTTAATAGCTTCAGAGGTGCCACATCCATCCCCCAAACTTCTGTGTTGCCATTTATAATGACTCTTCCCTCAGTCTGGATGGGAGTACTGGAGCCTGTTTGAATTGGCAGAGACTGATATAAAATAGCTTTGCCACTAACATTTTGTGAGTGATCCTGTCGTGTTTTACAAAAAGGCAGAGATATAAGATCCCTTGCTTTCCTTTCATCTGTTAATTTGAAACTGTGCTGTAAAAGGCTATGAAGTTTGTCGGGTGTGATTTGTTCTTTAAATGCCCTTGCTGCTTAATCTTCATGAAATTCTTATTAAGATGCTGAATGATCCTTAAACAGGATTTTTTTTTCAAAAGACAGAGAAAAGGATATATAACAAGGACATGTCTGATGAGCAGATTGACAGTTTTCTAGGATAAGTGGATGCATAGGTCATAGAAGACTCAACTGAACTAAACAGCACATCTCCAATTTTTGACCTTTGTTAAAGTATGGTTTAAGATTTGTAATAATCTTTTAATATTAATTATGGAAGCAATAAAACCAATAGAAATATCTCAGAGTGTAAGTAATTTCCCTTACTCTAAGTTCCCAAGTATTTATGTGCATTGTGTCCTTGATTTCCACAATATTTCTATCTTATCTGATGTGGTGCAAGAGATGGACCACAGGATTACGATTCAGAAGACTTCAATTCTGATCCTGGCTATGCTTCCTATTAATTGTGTGATTTTAGATCTGGAGTCAAAAAATTCTCCCATACAGTATCAGAAGGAAAAAGTTGTAGGCTTTAAATGTCACATGGTCCATGTCACAGTTATTCTACTGTGCTCCTGTAGGATGAAAGCAACTCAAGAGAATATGTAAATGAGTGAGCATTATAGGTTATGTCAAGATATTTTTCTGATGTCTCTTGGATACATAGATGGGGCTTTGGGAATGTGGTTGGATCATGGGTGTGTGATACTAGATTAAGACTGTTAGATAACTATAAATCTGGTGGAGTAGCGTAGCTCTTGGTGTGGCTGAATGGATTTATAGAAAACAGAAGACCTATTCAAAGTGGGAATAGCCTCAACCAATAGGATTGTAGCCTGAAATGAATACAAAGAAAAAGGGAGGCATGTTGTTGCTACTTTTTTCTGCCTGCCCAGTCATAGAGTGTTTCTCTTTCCTGATGGCCTGTGCCATGCCATCCTGCCTTGGAGCCAGCCAATCATGGACTGAAACCTCTACAAATTGTGACTTAAAATTAACCTTTCCTCCTTTAGCTTGCAAGTTTTGAGTATTGTGTCCCAGTCATGAGGAAATAACTAAGAGAGTGAATATGGGTGTTTTCTACTACAACTTCTTTACAAGATATAGAAGCAAACAAAGTGTGGTTTATGAATCATAGCTTCTGACTTTTCCTTTAAGTAACTGATCCAACTTCTCTAGTTTCTACTTTACTTATCAAACATGAGATGGAATGCATTCAAGTTTAAGAGGTATTTACTCCTACGTCCAAAGACTCATCTATTTTCTAGTGTTTGAAATCATAACAGGCTTTAAATGCTATTGGCATCATCAGGACTGGTACTTCTCATCTGGGTTTCCATCCTGATCAGAGAGCAAACCCTGAGCAAAGAGCTTGCTTTAAAACCAGAAACCCAGTGAAGTCAGTAGCTATGTTCATGCCCGAAGATTTTGAATTAAACATTTACCTTCATCATGAAATAAAGACTGAATGTTTGTTAGAATTTGGGGCAACAGGTAATACAAAAATTTCTTTCCTCCTTTTTCTCATCTAAACCCTACTTCCTTATTTGATTCTGCCCCACCTGTACCTTGTTACCTGGTTATGTTTCGTCATTCTCTAATCAAGTTGTTGCGCTTAAACCACAGAAGACCAAGTAGACGGCTCTCCTTGAATGTAGCACTATTATCTCTGCATTATTCAAACTGTACCCTGTCTCCATGTACTGATATGTACAGAGTTGGCTATGCTATTTCCCTCTCCTTTCAACTGACTCTAAGCAATGCAAATGAGGCTAGCTAAGGCATTGATATGTAATCAGTAAGGCCAACCAACAATCTCCTGATTCAACACATTGTGTCCCCTCTAAAATGGTTGAACAATGGGATGGCACAGACAGATAGTTCCAGGAATGTCAACCTGTGTACAAGCTCAAAATTAGACGCTATGACTTTCCAGGGCACAAAAGTTTGCATATCAGAAACTGAAGCAACAGGATTCTAAATTCATTCATATGCTATCCCAATGGAATTATGCAAGCTGGTCTTTCTGCACATCTTTCTTGCTGCATATTGTAGAGGTACTTGCTCTCTGCCTGGCTGGCTCAGCTCACCTTGCTCACATAATTCCTGCCATCCTCACTGTCACTCATCCTTGAACCACTCCCTTTTACATGAGATAATGAATTCTGCGAGAGGTCTTGGATCAAGGCCTTGTTCCATTTATCCCCATGACTTAAGATTTCTTGCCTGTCCATAACTTTGAATGTATCTGTAGTTTTATTCTTGTCGTGGGTTGCATTGGAGGTGGTAGATTAGAATTAACTACCTGGACTGCCAATTACATTCCTATGGGATTACAAATATAACATTCCAGATTATGAGGTGCATTGAAAAATGGATTACAATATTTGGATTATAATATATAATATTTGGATTATAATATGAATGGAGTCTCCACATGATTAAAGAGAAAATCTTTCTGAGACCTTATTAAAGATTGAATTATGAGCACAGAACTGTCACTCAAAATTTTCCTTTTCAGGATAATATGGGCAGGAGGTTTTCCCACTTGTTACT